ATTATTTTTTATTGTATAATATAATTTTTGTATAAATTTTTAATTAACAAATTTCAATTAAATTTAAATAAATATAAAACTATGAAATAATTCATTTATTTACTTTAATCGATAGATTTTAGTAAATGACAATTTTTATCGACATAATATATAATAAATGTTGTAGTATTACAAATATTAAGCTGAAATTGTATCGAACAAAAAAATATTTCTTATGAATTTTTAATATCTGGCAATTGAACTTAATTGTTTGACATTTTATAAGTAGTTACGTCACGATACATGTGCGCTCTATTTTTAATTAATAGCTTAATAATGTTATTGATATATTAAAATTCTTTTGCTTAATTTTATATTAATAAGTTATTTATTTTTATAATTAGTTATTCACGTGAATATTTCTACTAATGCTACAAGTAATAATAATATGATTTGTCATAACAATCATGTTTTTGAGTTGAACTCTTTTTGTACCTACAAAAGTTGATATAGACTTCATTTGAAAGAAATTATTTTATGCTTATTTAAAAATACTTTAGTTATACTCTATTGCAAATGTAAAGGAAATAATAAATATATTAATAAATAGCTCAAAGACTATTATTACTTATTATTATTATAATATATTACAATAATTATCAACATTAATTACATTAACTTGTAAATTTATATCGTACACAAATAATATTAATGTATTTAATATTTAATTTAATTTATAATAATTCTTATTAATCTTGTGATAGCAGCTCGATACCCTTAGCGCATACATACATATTATTTTCCAATGCCTGAGTGTGCGAATAGGAAAATGCGAGAACAAAATGTTTATGATTATTTTGTAAGTAATTTATGAATATAGTATTAATACAATGTGCACATATATGTGCATGTGTAAACAAATGAATGAAATATATATATATATATAGTTATATATATATATATATATATATATATATATATATATATATATATATATATATATATATAAGGGTTACATTTATATATATTGCGATGTGTATAATAGATCGTAAGGAGAAATTGCTCACATTAATCTTTCAAGTTTTGCGGCTTATGCAAATTTCGACTAAAAATAACGAAGATGTTATAAACATCATTCATATTAAAATCTTAATTGTCTTTTCTTAAAAATCTTATCAAAAGTGCTCTGTTTTTATCGTTATGTATTCATTGACTTTGTAAATACTCCATCTTTTCATGTTCAGTAGATTTTTCACATGTTTTTTACATCTTTAATCTTTCTGCTTTTTAATTTGAATAACAAATACGAAATGTTTGCCGAAAATATATCTGCATATAAAATGTGTTTTTAACTACGAAGATTTATAAATACATGAATCATACGAAAAAGAAAATAGTCTTAAAACTACTAGATTAAATTTCTATTATTATATTTTAATCATAATATAATGCATTTAATTTAATATTTAATTCTTACTTAATCTTACATTCACCAGTTTATTTTATAAATTTATATTTTATTCTGCCTAAATTACAAAACATTTTATAAATAGCTGTACGCGAATATTAGAATGTACTAAATATTTTTATATTATTTTTCAATGTATATTATGCACACGTACAAAAAATATTTTGTACAAGGCATAATTAAATTAAACGGAAAAAGATAAAAACAAGATGATTGATTCATGATATATCACTTCCATTCGGAATTATATATATATATATATATATATATATATATGTATACATATATGGAAATTGAATTGAGTTTTGTTACGAATCCAGGCATAAATTTATATATACTTTGAACAATGTTACATATTTTGATAAAAATTAAATTTTTAATAAAAAATAATCACTTATCAAGTGGACGTAAAATATAAGTATTACATTTGCACAAAGTTGCATTTCAAAAGATAGTTCCGGAGCTTACAGCTTATTGCTCTACCATTGATCTAAATATGGAACAATATCAACAGGTCTTTAAAAGTACAATCGAGGTACAGCAATTTTAAAATAAGAACATCAAAATTTCTTATTGTTTTTATTTTTAATCTAAGTTTACGTATTGAATTCAAATTTAATAATATTATTATTACATAACTTAGTTATTATTTACTTTAATTTTTACATAATATAGAAATATTTTATAAGCATAATTGAGAATTTTTATTTTTATAGAAATGCTACAATTTATAAATAATAAATAAGTACATATTATTTCAAGTAAGTATGATTATGTTAGTGATAGAAAATAATAAATTTTCATTCGTATAATAAGATTCCTTTTTTATTTGTAGTATTACAAATATAATAAAAATAAGTCTAGAATTAGGTTTCAATAAGGAATTTATAATAAAGCATTAGTTCTTACAAAAGTGGAGAATTGGTTCATACAAAAGCATTTTTGAATACAAAAATTACTATTTCGTATTAATTATTTTTTTTTGATTTATGATAAAGTGATGGTATATTAAATATAATATAATCAATTGTATTTTAATGAATAAAATATATTAGGTACGAATAAACCCAAAAAATGGAAAAACATTTAGTAAGATAAAAATATTGTTCAGTTCTGCTCTCATATAACAACGATCTATATTGACTATGTCTATGTAAGGCAAATTAATGCAGAAATATGGACATTAGCACAGTATCTATGTAGATCATCAATCTCCATATTAGCGATGAATAATGATTATTAATTTAGCTTAAATTGATTATAATTATATGGTACACGTTGACTAGTTAAAATAAATTATCTACTGTAGTATTTTTTTATGTTCAGGCCATCTTAAAGAAATTTTAAGCTATCTTTTAGATTGTTTTAGATTGCATTATTTCACAGTGACATTGATGAAGAAATATTGAATATAATGTCACTAACAGACAATATTGGCAATAAGTATCTTAGCGGAAATAGAATTGAACAAATAAGACAAAGATATTTGAACATTAACAGTATCAATTAAGACCCAAAGAAAAAATTATAGAAAAATGTTGTTAAATAATCGACAAACATCTTAGCTAAAGAAAAACACTTGCTCGAGTAGTCCCATTAAAAAAGTATTAACCCATTAACATAACCAAATATGTTGAGAAATCTAAGTTGTCTAGTAAAAACAATGTATATTACTACGTATTTAACCTAATATTGAAAAGATATGATTTGTGATATCTTTATAATAAAGAGAAAAAAGTTATAAATTTTAAATCGATTCATTTTATTTAAAACTTAAAATTCAGTAATCTCTGACAACCAGAGTAATAAATAAATTGGCATAAATCTTTGCACATAACTATAAAAATATTGCTTAGTTTTAATGCATTTTCCATTCAAACAATAATAATATAGTAATTAAATCGGTAAGCGTGCAGCTATTGAAACTGTATCGACTTAATTGAACGAACCAATATTACTTTTATACCATTAACAGTTAACGGGCAATACTCCTGATGCATATTTTTATGCATTTTCATTTTAATTTCTTAAAATTAATCATTTTATTCTCCAGTAATATGGGTTTTAGCATATATTTTTGTATAACGACAATTATTATCATATAAAAATAGAAGTATGCACTTACATCAACTCTAAATAGAACGAGAAAAATCTAGAAGAATATGAATATTTATAAATTTTGAAATTTATCAAATTGAGGATTTAATTTTTTAATATGAATATATATAAATGAATAATTTTAAAAATATTTTTTTAAAAAGTTACCTCAATTTTTTGTCCTATTTTTACCAATTTATTTATAAACCTTAATTATAAAATAAATACATTACTTAAATTAAGATAAATTTTATTTAAATTAGATTATTTATTCATTATTTACGTTTACATTATTTGGCTACTTATTATTTTCTAACATTAAGAACTTTGTAAACATATAAGTATTTAAAAACATTCATTTAAATTATAACTTCTTTTTAGAAAAAAATTTGTAAAAAGAATAATTAAAATTTACAGAAAATGACAAAATATCTTATCATATATTAATAGTACAACTATATATTGATTTTATGACACATTGATATTCAGTAATACTCGAATGATTATGTAAAAAAAGTTGTTTTAATATGTTACTTTTACTCTACGTTTTACAAAAACTTTAATATTGATATAAAAAAATACAATAAATTATAAGCTTTAAATTTTAATTTTTATAAGGTACTAAAATACCTTAATAAATAAGTTAAATTGTAAAATTGTACTTATTTTTAGAACAAATATTCTTATAGTTTAAATAATTGATTGAGTAATGAGTATCAGTTTTAATGTAGCCTTTACAATAATCGATTAATTAGATCGTTTAAAGACAGCGTTCATTTTAAAACTAACATTATACTACTATATTTTCATAATTTAGTGAGCATTAATCAAAAAATAATTCTAATAATTTATGTAGCATAAAAAATTGATATCACAAAATTTATATTGTACATTATAAATTAATTTTTAATAGATCATCTATTTGATACGAGAGTATCACTTGTTTAATTTTTAAAAATCTATCTGTTTTTCATTACTATTACTATTTTTAATATATTATTATAAAACATTAATTGAAGCAACTTCTTATAGTTAATGGCTTAAGTATTAGAATATGACAAGTAAGAAGAATATTTTTAATGCAGGATTGTAAATTTTAAATTACTTTAAATACAATAAAATATTTTAAACAGTCATGATTTATCTTAAATTTTACTTTGTAATTCTATGGAAAAAACTTCGAAAAAAATTGTATGTTTTTATATTATTTTATTATTAACTATTTTTTAATTATTTCTAATTAATATAAAAACGTAATGTTATGTAATGTCTTCATATATTTTCATATGAAAAAATTTATAGAAATAATATTAAAATGATTACATTATAAATACATAATTATAAATATAATTTATAAATAAATATATTTGTATATTTCTACAATATACCACTTGAGTATTATTGGATAATTTAGATGGCAAGTTAAAATAATTTAAATATTCTTTTTATTTTAATATTAAAAATAATAGAAAATGGACTAGATAATTAATAATTAGAAAAAAGTTCGATTTTAGTGTTTAACTACATCAAAGCTGATTTTTCAAATATCTTCTTCATCTGTTTCATTAATGCATGTAATATACACACGAATATTTCTTTGATACATTTCTACAAGCAGAAACATAATCAACCAGGTATAGACTTAGAATACAGCAAGCAGATAAATTATTGTAGAAGTCCTTTTAAGTCGGGCACAAAACTGTAACAAAATAACAGTAAATTTGTTTATATAAAATATAATTAATGTAATCTGATTATTATATTCTTACATTCTGAACATATATTTAAATATATCAAAACATTTAAAAACTTGACGTTTTGAATATAAATCTTTATAAATGTAGAAAATAACGATTTTCATAATTAAATTTTTTTATATATATAATTTATGTTTTGTGTACTAGTAACTTTAAATTTATATTTTCATTTGCTTAAAAACATTTTATTATGTACATTAACATTTTTAGATTAAGATTTATAAGTGCTTGAAGTCAGTTATAAATAAGAAAATAAACAAGTTAAAGATCAAAGAACAAAAAACAGAAATTGTACAAGTATACATGTATTACTTTAATAAGATTCATGAAATGCAGTAAATTCTATATTACACAAGCATATAATGAATACTATAAAAACCAGACACCCAACAAAATAGTATATAAATAAAATAAATACAACAAAGTCCATCATCTATTACAGACATGCAAAAAAATTATGAGACTCGCTAAGAATTGAAAACCTATAATTTCTTATAATATTCGAATAGTAGTGATAAAATTGACCTCGTAAAACTCGTAACTTATATGATTGTATTTAATGGGCACCTGTTTAAATCATTTTTTTTAATTTTATGCTAGTTTTCAAAATATGTATAAACCAATAGTCAATACTCAAGTTTGTTCTTCTTTAGATACATAATTATCTTCGTTAAACTTAAAGTTGATACTGATAATTCGTGAAAGTATTCAGATTTTATGAGAAAAGTAGAACTATCAAGCTTGAATAATAACATAAATTAAGATCTATTTTTTCTTAACACAATTTATCTTAGACATAATTACAATAATTTTCTACTGATAAGCTGAATTATTTTTGTTTCTAGAGACTATGTTAAAATGATAGCAATTATGTATATATTTGTTAATATAATGAAGTAGGCTGCTCGAACAAAAATATATTATTTGAAAACGTTAAGAATTGCGCGGCTTTTACGAGCTAATAATTTCATCCACGAAATCCATTGAAATTTGATAATATTATACGAATTAGAGCAAATAATAACAAACCGATTGGAAATTATTATTATTAAATAAACTATGAATAGCTGCCTTAAATGTATTTTTGTAATAATGCAACGATACACCTGTCTACAATGAGTTTATCTATGATTTTTATAAGCCATATTGTTAAATAAATATTTGAAAACCATGTGGAAAATAGAGAGTAAATACTTAAATAGTAAATAAAAGATCGAATTTTCACAATAAAATTAAATAATTAAAATATATAGTTACAAATTAAAAAGTTACAAAATATAATTATAAATTAAATAGTTAAATAATATAGTTTTACAAACTAGAAATCAACATTTTAAAACGGTGTATATTCAAAAATAAAATATATTTTTAAGCTTTCACAAAATATTTTCATACGCGAAAACTTCATCGCCTATAGACGATTTTATAATATATATTAATTATATACGACATTTAAATATGAAACTTACATATGATGTAATCGGAAGAATTATATATTAATTAATTATATAGCTTGAATGAAACTATTCGACTGTTTTCTACTTTGATTGTGAAAAGCCAAAGTATGAAATAATATTTTTACTTTATTTCCAATGCAAGATTTTTACATTTTTATTTGCCTATATATGAATTTAATTAATAAGAAGTAAAAGTAACTTTATTTTTAAATATTAGTCTAATCAGTTTAATCAGTACTAATAACACTAAATGACAAATAATAAAAAATATAATTTATTGTTAATAGTGTAAGCTATGTTATAATTTAAATAATTTTAATCGTTATAAAATGTGTTGTGGCGCATTTTTTAATGATCAGTTCCTGTAAATACAAAATAATAAAAATAGGAAAAGATTTATATTATATATTATAAAGAATGAATTTATTGTAATAAATAAATAAGTTCCAAAGAAGTCTTTAATATAGAGAAACAAATTACGTATAAGCATTGCAAAAATTAACCGGTTTAAATGCACATTTACAAAAGGAACTAATGTAAAATAACGAAATATATGATTGCTCTTTTAGATTTAATGTTACTAATTATTTATCATCCGTTTTATATTTTTTTTTTTTGTACAAATATTAAAAATATTAATGAATATCTTAAATAACTTATATCATGATTCTAATAAGCTTTTCCGTTGATTTCAAATGTTTAAAAAATATAAAAACACATTATATTTCTACACTACATCTTTTTTTCATCTTTAAAGCAATTAAACTATTATATAATAAGATAATGAAAGATTCCGTATACCTTTTAAAATATAATCTGTTAATAATGATGGAAGTGCCGGACTATCTTCATTGATTGCCTTGAGAACTGTAACATATATTTATTCATATTAAAAACTTCCAATTATATACAAAACATGATACAAAATAAAATAGAATTTTTCATAACATTCTTTTAAATTTCAACATATTCCATTTATAATATAAATAAAAGATAACTTTATTTAAATACAACAAAAATATCTACTTAAGTAACTACAAACTTTCTGTAAAAATTTTATATCGATTTTGGATTGATTGCGTATTATTAAAAAAATGAAAGATTTAAGTGTTATTTTTACGCTTCATTTTTTCTCAAATATGTGTAATTAACAAACATTAGCTAAATAATAATTATTTGTTATTAATAAGTGATTACTGATATCTAGTTTCAGTTTATAATGTAAATCTAGTTCTTTTTTTTTATAAATTTATGAACTATTTTAAAGTACGCGTAACTTAAAAATAATTAGGAGTATTGCATAAAATTTGAAAATTGATCAAATTTAAATAATTAAACAAAATATGAAACAACAAAAGGAATTTTTAAGTTTAACTTACAACTTTAACTTACAACTTTACACTTATGATTATAAAATAAATTATACAATTTAGAAATTTACTTAAACAGTTTACAAACATATCAACTACATATACTAAATTACCCCACAATTTATAGAGTTTACATATACATATATAATTTATCTTTCTTCATATATATATATATATATATATATATAAATATATATATATATAAATAGATTATTAATAAAATATTAAACGCTATTTAATTATATTAACTAATAGGGCAGGATCAATTAAAAGATCTAAAAAGTTTTACTTTTATTATATATTTTTTAAGATTATTATTACATTTTCTTATATAATATATTATTTCATATACCATACTATTAGAAGAATTTTGTATCTTTTAATTTATAAAAAAAAATCCTTTTTACACTTATTGTAACTATCCTATATTATATGTAAACTTTATTTTGTAAAAATAATATTAATGTTTATGAAATATATATTTATAATATATGAAAATATTAATATAAATATAAATAATATATATTATTAGAACTATATAATTAAGTTAAATATATTTGAGATATTTTACAATGACCATGTATCTTCAAATCAAATTATCTGAAACATAAAATAAACAAATAAAATTTTATACGAAATATATATCTTTCAACGTATTTTAATGAAATTAATTTAAGACGCGTGACTTTTAAAAGCTAAAAATTCTTGTTATACACAAAAATGTTAATTTTCGTTATCTACTAAAATGCACAAATAGAAAACAAAGTTTTTAAATTAATTAATTATTTTTAAAGAATCATAGCGACTAACTTGGAATATTTACTTAAGAAAAACATAATTAGTTTTAAGAAATTTTTATTAATAAAATGTATATTTTTTGACTTACATAGTTATTTATTTGAGACCCAGGTGATATATTTTTCTTCTAAAAGCTTAAAAGAATTTTCATTTTCGGCAGAGCATTTTATATTCTAAGTTATATATTATATAATTTTTGTTAATTGTTTGACTATTCTTTATAAATATGCATTTGTATTCACAACTGATTCAGACTTATACCTATAATTTTATTCGCTATTTCACTAAATATATAGATATTTTTATAAATTCATTCTAAATTATTAAAGTAAAACTTACAATATTATATACATTTATATTATTAGTCACATTGTGGCGTGTTTTTATTATTTAAACTTATTTAAATACATTTCTTAAATGATTCATAACTAATCATTCCAAATCATGGTTACATCTATTAAAATTATTTTTTGTTTAGGTGTGCTGGTAAAACGTGAATAATTTGGTTCCAAATGGCTGTGATGATTTAACTTTCGTATATGTTGTTTAATAATTTGTGCTCATATTATGTTTTTTATCTTTTTTATTGAGCTAAATTTTATACTGCTAGCTGGGCTATAGTAAATTGACAATTTTTTTATTGAGTTTATATGTCTGTTTATTTAAATTTATTTTCTGTATTTGTGAAGCGATCTCCTGATTCGTTTTTTAGATATGTTAATTCAGTATTTTATTAACAAAAATATTTTTGGGCTAGATAATTGTTTTTAAAACATTTGTTTATGCTTACTAGTGTTCTCGCCGATGTAAATAAGAATTACACGAACCTCCATTTTCGATCCAATCCTATAAGATCAATAATACCTTCTCATTCATTAAATGTAATCAACCTTCGAAGTTTGCACTATATTGTTTTATTTTTTAATATTTATACAAATATTATTACATTACTAATATAATAAATAATTCCAAAAGACAATTAGCACTTTTTCGTACTATATTGCTTCAAATAGTTAATTTTGTATTTTTATTTTCGTAATTTGTTGTTAAACAGCTATTTCAATAGTTCAGTATTATATTAATATTTTTGTTTTAATAAGATTGCACACATATATAATATTTTAAAAAGACATATAAACGGACATAAAAGTCTTGAACCTCTTTTAAATCAATTTGTAATCTAATTATAATGTATCGATTAATTTTTTATATATATTTTCTCATATAGTGTAATTTTCCCAAATCTTTCCAAAATTAAATTATTAAAAAGTTAAAATAACATAAAAAATACGTTTAATAATTTTGAAATTATAAAATTCGATATAAAAGGATTAGTGAACGTATTACGTTAAAATATATTTTCTTAATTTATATTAAGCAAATCTCGTTGTAATATTATTATAATAAATTATACATAATAAATTTGTTTTTTTTAATATTTTTAAATATATTTTATTGCAATCAATTATTTAAAATTTAATAACTAATAATTATGTAATAACTAATTAAGATTTTAGATTTTAGAAAAAATTTAATTCAACTGTAGTATTTGATCCAAGTGATCTTATCTTTTCATTTTTATTATTCGAGTCTAATGGATTTTAAATAACATTGAAACTTTAAAAATATTATGGCTTCAGAAAATGATAACTATCCGAGTTTTTAATTTTTTTTTTCATTATTAATTTCTTAATTGTTTTTCGTAATATTTGTAATATTGATTTTAAAAGATTTAAGCAATATATCGATTCAATTTTCACTTGAAATATTAGCTTTATAAAAGTTTAATTAATTCTTTGTCTAGTACTTAAATATTATTCCATTTTTTTCTTAATATTTATCTTTAACACTATAATTACAAATTTTAATTCCACCATTTTTTCTTGTATGCTGTATTTTTGTACTGTTATTAAAAATAAAATATTTTTCGAGATTTCAGATATGTATACACTATTATTAGTATATTACTGTATAACAATGAAATAATTAAGAATTATAAAAGAGACTTCATTACAAACGCAACGATAAATACCTTCAAATGGTTGTAGTTAATTCAAACAAATTAAACTGAGCTTTAAAACGGATTATATGTATTTTATCATCATTGGATTACTACTTAATAAAGAATTTTCGAAGTGAATTTTATAAATTATAATGCAAATAATCTTATACAGAATACAAATTTGTTCTTTTTAATTGCTTTATAACGTATTTATTTTATAATTTTATAGATTTTCATTTTAAATTTAAAGGAATATTAGTTTAATTGTTTTGTTTAAAGTGGACATTATTAATTAATAAATAAGAAATAAGAGAACTAAACAATAAATAAATTATTTTTTTATTAAATGACTCTAAGAACAACTAATTACAAATATATTGCAACTTTTGGATTAATATTCCTAAACCAATATTAGTGAAAAGTAAATCACTATAAGCATTCTAAAGTACAAACAAGAACTTCACTAACTCAAATTAGTTAAAAAGCTTTGTCATATAAATAATTATAAAGTAAACCGCAAAAAACTTTAGTTTCATAATTATTGTCTAAAATATCTTAAAAGAGTATATAATTCTATGAGTTAATTAAACAACTTCAAATATAATTGCGCACATTTTCCAATTTATGTTTAAAAAGTATATAATAACAATAAACGTTCGATAAAAAGATAGATGTATTTTTTATCTAATTTAAGTGCATTATTTTTTAATCCAGTATTACCAATTTTTTCAACTATATTTGTCTAAACTACATAATAATGTATATATGTTATTGCCAATAAACAAATGTTAGTATATTTAACAATTAAAAAATAATAAATAATAAATTTTTTTACTAGAATTTTAATGAACTTTATTGATATTTATCTTATACTTCTATAAATTATAATTGTAATATTTAATAAGTGATTTAAAATATAAACATTTATTTTACTTACTTTTGATTAATACTTGCAATGACTGATTATCTAGAAGAGTATTTTCTGTGTGGTATGGAATAACAGTTGTCAAGTACTAAAACAAGTAAATAACCGAAATAAAATATTATATTTACAAAAAATAATCAAAAATTATATAAATTTAGGTGTTTATTGGAAAACTTATTATTGTACATTTAATATTAATATAAATAATGGTAATTTATTCTTGATGTTTGTAAATACTAATAATTATTTATTACAATCAACTTGATACAGTTTAAACACTTTGATTCCAAACGTTTTATTTTATTATTCGTGTTAAACATAATATTAAAAAATTCAAGAAAGATAATTATATTAACTCTTAATAATACTATAAGTTATAAAAAATTATGTTCCTTTTATTTATTTTCTTTGGAATATTTTTGTATTAAATTTAATATTTATTTAATATATTTTTTATATTTGTGTAAATGTACAAATAGGATTTGTATTTACAATTTTATTCACAATTTCTGTAGAAAACTGAATATTTTTTGGCTAATATTGTAATATACTTTTCGATATTATTTACAAATAGTATTTCATTAAAAGAATTTCTAGAAATTGGAATCATAAATTACTATTAAAGTTTAAGAATTTTAATATTTTTCAAATAAAATTGTTATATTATTTACTAAAAAAATATATGTCAATTAGAAATATATTAATGTAACATAATCATTTATTATATATCGTACTATTTTTTAATTGATACAATGTTGAATGCTTCATTGTCTGAAAAGAGGCATAGTTGTATTAAATCAATTTCACTGATAGTACTGGAATTATCAATGTTAGTATAATCATAAAGGAAAATCAGATGCACAAAACAATACAAAAAATTAAAAAATTATAAAAAAATATTAATATTTAATCATACTTATAAGTATATATCCTATGCATAACTACAGAAATTAATAACAAATAAAAAGTAAAAATGTAGTAAAAAATTCGCTGAATCTGATTAAGATGAAATAGAAATGACATGTTTCTGCTAAACATGAAAATTGTTAGAGAATTGAATTTAATATAATTATTCAATTAATTTATTTTTGATAAACGACGAAAATTATTTTATCCGCGAAAAAAAGTTCCTGTTCAGAATTCAGTTCTTGAATATACCGTGAATACAAGCAAAAACATTTAATGCGTGTATTAAAAAATGTATAAACAATTTGTATTATATATAAAAATTAAAAAAAAATTACATGAAATAAATATATATAAATCAAATATTTCAAATCAATTTAAAAGAAAAGTATGTTATAAAATTAATACCAAGAAATCAATTTCGAGAGTTAAAAATCGATTTATTTCTATCGAACTCTTACTTAAAAGCATAACAAATAAATTAATATGTAAATAATTTTTTTATGTCAGGTCTACTATTGAAGCTCATGTAAATTGATGTCATTACTTTGACTATGTTGTTAAGAATACAAGTAATAAAAATAATAATGTTATAATAAATCAACAATTTAAAAATAAGTTATGAATTCTTTATTTGATAGTCTTATTGTGCAATAATACATATTAATTAGAATTAAATAAGTGAAAAAGAAAAAAATATAAAATAACATAATAATACAAATCTATTAATCAACAAATTTCACGATAATGAACTGTTTGAATACATATGAATAGTTATTTCATGATATTATAATCATTTTAGTATGTATGATTGATAAATGTGTGTATAGATTACAAGTTCTAAAATAAGTAAATTAGTAAATGTGAAACTTAACTTGTCTAATTTATTTAAATTTTTACTTTTTTAAATAAATTTAAAGTTATATTGAAAAAAATAACGAGTATTATAATTAGAAAATTATATGATGTCCATAAATATTATGTAAGAATTTTTTTTTTTACAAAATTATTAAATAAAAGTTATATTGGTAAAAAAACAATCTAAAGTAAAAAATATTTAAAATTTTCATTATTACAAGAAAATTACATTTATTATACCTTTGAATCTTGAGTTAATTTGCGTTGAAGTAAAGGACTGGTACCATTTTGTAATTGATTTCGTTTTTTTGTAACATGGTGCTGCCTTCTACGATTTTGAACTGCAAGAAGAAGTGATATAAATTGATTCTTAAGTTCCTTCTCATATTCTAGCTCATCTCTTAAGGCAAGCTCACTTATTAATGTTTCACTCAAAGCAGATATTAGAGAGTCCATTTCATTTAACAAATCAGACAACTGTTTTAAAGAATACTGCTGTAATCCTGAAATCATACGATTGTTCCAATTTCACTTATGAAAATTAAATACATTAATGTTAATTGATATATTTATTTTTTTTAATTCGGTTTTATTTTTATTTTATTAATATCTCAAGTATGTTATATTATATGTAATTATTATTCGTTTAATAGTAAAGCAATTTAAATTCACATAAATTGAATAACATTCATATATATATTTACAGCATTTCAAATTTTATAACACAGTGTATATAAATAGATTATTAATAATAGAGAATACTATCAAAATTTTTTACTCATATTTAATAATATTAACCAGAAAAAAAAAATTAAATAATTTAATTATTCAATACTAATCATGTAAAATTAATTTCAAATAAATGATATTTTAAACAATGCTAAAATAATATTAAAATTTTATTTTATTTTATTTAAATTTTAATAAAGATAATAACAAAATTTTAGTAATTTTTTAAAAAATTAGAAATATTTGAGATAATTCTTTTCATTTTACTGAATTATTTAAAAATATTTATAATAAATTTATTTATGTATTAATATGAGAAAAGTTAAATAAACTGAACGACAATTTTTGTCAATAATATATATTCCATATTAATGAAATGTATAAAAATGTATAGATATGAAATGTATGATAAATGTATGTCTCTACGTATGTACTATATAAAAATTGTTTTGAATAATTTTTGTATATAACAAATTAATACTGAAAAATATATTAATATTTATGAAAAAGGAATTATTAATTACGAAATATATATATATATATATATATATATATATACATTTAATTTGTTTATTTACATACTCTTCTCATGAAGTGGTGATGAGAGGACTTCTCGACTTCTTTCAAGAGCTTCATTTATTTCAAGAAGAGATTCTGAATTAAACAATGTATCTGATGATGGACTTTCTTCCATAATATCATCAATTTCTTTCAAAACCTCATCAGCAGTTTTTACTGCTTCTTCCACATTGTAATTATCATTACGGCTTGATAATATTAATGCATGCATATCTAAATCTGTAGCTACGGCTTCATCTTCACTACTTAAATCTTCTAATCCTGTTCTTTAAGATAAAAAAATATATTAAATAAAGCATTTAAAAAATTAAAAAGCGGAACGTTTAGTTCTATTTTATTTATATAACACTATATTTTTTAGTTACCCATTAATAGATTTAGATGACTTATTTAGATTAAGAGCTGGTACATGCATTTTTCGTGTATAAGATTTACTCCAATCTATGGGTAGTATATTACCAAATGTTCCAGTTATAGTCCACCACATTCTGGAAGTAATGTATTATTTAATAGTTAAAATTAATGTTATTGATTATAATTTAGAAAGTATTAATATATTATACAATTATATTATGGATTTTTATTCATTTCTATTTTAAATATATTGTCCTAATTAATTAGCCAAGAAATTCAGCTTAATTAATAAGGCTGCTACATTTAACTTTATTTATAACTATATCAATGTATTAAAAAAAAAGGTGTATTGAAAATAAAATTAAAAGTTATTAATACTGTTTATATTAAAATTATATTTATCTAAATGAGAATATTTTTAAACAACTTCGATCATATTTGTTTTAATTTTGTTCATTCTGAAAGTGATTAATGTGATAGTTAATTACTTATATTTTAATATCTGTGCCATATTTTAATGAATACATATTTATGAAAAAACTTACTGGCATTCATTCATAATTTCCTCTTGAGAACGAACTTGCACTGGTGCAAGAGATTCTACATTGGTTCCAAAATCTCTAAAGCAAGAAGTAATTTTTTCATCAAATGTATTAACTAAATCTTCCAAGCTTCCAGTGAATGGACTAAATGTTCCATCTTGTATGATATCTGAACATTCATGCGGTATGGAAGAGCCATTCGAATTTCGAGTTGTAATGAAATTTCTTTCAAGATTAACATCCATTAAATGCTCTGCAATAAAATATTTTAATTATAATTCATAATTTAAAGTAAATAAACACATTAAATTATCCCTCAAACACCTTAACGCCATTCATATTAAAATCTAAAGAATCTGTTTATTAAATTAAATTAAATTAGCTTGTACATGATTTAAAAGTTAATAATAAAATGGCTAAACATTAATTGAATATTTAATTTAAATATTTTAAGAAATCCAATTAAATATATTTGTAATTGTACTTGAAAATTACTAAAAAAGAAAAATAAATTATTAAATTATCATCTTTAATATAAATATTACAGTCTATTTATAACTTTTATTTGTAATTAATTTTATAATATATTGTTAATTTGGATTGCAAACTTAGTATAATGTTGAAATGTTAATAACTGAATATCAGTTATTACAATATTAATCGAGTATTCGTGTAACAAATAATTTAAATAATTTTCTCCTTTAATGGGCTTGTTACAAATGTTAGATAATTGCAAAATAATATTGCTTTTACTAAGGAAAGTAATAGGAAAAAGATAGTATTTCTTTTTTAACTAGCCTTCCGTTCCATCTTATAAAATTTAATATCATATTTAAGTTTTAGGTGAAGTAAAAGTATGTATTTTTCTGCTATGCTTATTTCTATTAATACTTTTTCAATACTATCAATTTCATTGTTATGTGTATATATATATATATATATAGAGAGAGAGAGAGAGAGAGAGAGTGCTAAAAAATAAATAAAAATTTGAGTTTTATCTTATTTCCAAGCACTTTTAAATTTAAAGATTAAAACTAAAACATTTAATTTTTGTATACTATTAATAACTGAATATAAATATATGGAGAAATAATAAAAACATATAAATAGTAAAACAACAATTTAATTAAATAAATAATTTACCTGAAAAAATATTCATGTTTCTTAAAGAGGATGATTCCTCTTCCTCAAAACATGCTAAAGGAGCTTCAAATTTTAATTCTGCAATTTTACTTGCCATGTCCTTCATTACGTTTTGACCAAATCAAATAAGTAACACTGAAAACTTTAAAAATTATTTTACTCTTTAAAAATAATTTAAATAAATAAAATCAATTTCTACATTAAAAAATTAGTTTATATTAATTTAAACATTTCGTCTTCCATATAAATATTTTTAAAAAATTTTTATTTTTTTTTTTAAATATCGATTTATCTGGTACATTCTTTAAAATACTTTGTTAGTAAATATAAAACAGCATAGATATTCTAATTACTTGAATGTTCGATATCAATATTAAACTACGATTAAAGCTTACGAAAATCAAACAATATTTTAATTAAATAATTAATTTTTTTATTTCACTGGTTTATTTTTTATTAAATTTAATCTTACACTATATTAAATTTTAATGTAGTATTACAAATTTAATTCCATTTACATATTTTCATATTTATATATTTATAATTGATACATTGTTATAAAATCTATAGTTTAAAGGTTTAATGATTTGTAATTGAAAATAGATGAACTTTTTCATATGTGTTATATACATATATATTTTATAATAATTTATTATTTTTTATTATCCATGTCTATTAAAATTAAATATACTTCAAAATAAATTGTGAAGTATAATTTTTAAAAAATTTGTTATAAAAAATTAATCTCAAAATAAAATTAATATCTATAGTTTTCAATACAATTATGTAATTTAATATTATAAATGTTTATATTCTGATAAGATATATATACTGGAAACAATTAATGGCTTTACAAAGCACAAGTGTAAGTTTCAAAATATAAATGCTTCTGTGTAATTCAAAAATACACTGGATGAAATGATTCCACCAGATAAATTTTTACAGATTGTCAAATTGGAAAATGCAGCTAACTAAAGAATGCTTTAATAGTTTTTCTAACATCACTGATATTTCTATATAGTATAAAACATTCTTTTATCAAGATTCTTTTATCACATATGAATGTATTAAGTCTCTACCGCCATATGTCTTCGTTACGAGGTGAAAATTTTGTGTAAGATCAAATATGTTCCATATTAAAGGTAGACAATCTATAAATGCAACAGACTAGGCCAAATACAGATAGTGATATTACTTTTTGATTTATGATGAGAGCACTCAAAACCATTTAATTTCAAAATATATTTTATAGAACTCTCATAAAAAAAAATTCTATCAGAATTAATAAATGATAAATAATAGCTGTTACAAATGAATAAAATCACACAGATTTATTCATAAGTTGTATGAAAACTCATTAATGTATATTAAATTGATGGTATTAGACTTACAATATGTATAACATTTCTATTTTCTTTTTTAACTAAAATTCGTCAATATTTATAATTTATTAAAAACACTTTAAAATCAATAATTAATTAATATTAATTACATTTACTATTCATAAAAAAAATTACTTCAATAAAGATTTAATGAAAAATAAATTGTTTTATTATTTTTTGAAAATTTAATAATATATTAGAAAATTATATAAATCACTGCTTATTTTGGTATCAATGATTTGCTCAATTTCGATCAACAGTTTATTTTTATGTAATTGATTAATTTATATTAATACTTTATATACTTTTTCTATTAAGTTATTTCATACAAAATTCACAATTTATAATAAATATCACCATTCAATTTTTTTATAATTTTTTATTTCTATTTTTTTTTAATAGAGGATTTATACTCTATTTTTTACAAATCAATTAGTTATATAATAATGATTTACAAAGTACTGCTTTCTTAGATATAACATTTTTTTTTTCGTTATGTTTTTGAAATCTTTTCATATTTTATGGTAGTCCAAAACTATAGCAATTATCAATATTAAATAATAAAAGTATATTCAAAATTGAATGTTAAATTAAGAAATATATACCATAAATAATTATTAATTCTTAAAGACAAATACTTTTCACAAAGCAAGTAAGCAAAAATACAATTATTAATAAGAAAATTTTGAATTAAAGTTAAAAATTGAATGTTTATCACTAATTATAAATTATTTTCAAATTTACACGATTTAAAAATAATTGATTTTATATTATGAGAAAAAAACTAGGAATAATATTTTTATATTTATCATTTCATACTTTTCTACTTTTATATAACATTGTAATATATAATTTGATATTATTTAAATAATACCTATATTTTCAATAAATAAAATTTAATTTTGATACATTATAATAGTAGTTTTTGTAACCATTTTTAGTAATAAAAAATTGATTGACATAAAAAATATATTAATATAATAATAATAATCTACAATATTATATTAAATAAATCTTACTGCTATACTAGCATAAATAATAAATTACTATATATAAAAAAAACTTATATACAAGTTATAAATATAAATATATTTTATTATATATCTAATTATCTAATTCTATCAATAGATAATAAATGTATTTTATGTATTCTAACTATATATATACATATATATATATATATATTAAATTATTTATTACATATTAAAATAACAAGCAGAATAATTAGTGAAAAAATTTAAAATATAGATATTTTAATTTATCTTATTATTTTACTATAATATTTCGAATGTAATTCTGTAAATATTTTATAATTTAATATTCTGATCTGAAAAACATTGTTTTCAGCTTCTTAGAATCCTATATTATTTACAAATTTATAAAATAATTAAATAATATAATCAATAAACGATTACATATTATTTTTAACCAAAAAATTAATACTTACAATGTATTTAATTATTAGCTACTTTTGTTTATTAAATTAATTGTTTTTATAAATAAGAGCTTCCAATATCGAAAGCTGATAACTTTAAATTATTTAATTTTATTCAAAAATCCAGGCTTTGTATACATTTACATAGTACTACCTTTAAATAATTCTTTTAAACAATGTTTCATAACAATTTTTTAAATTTTTTCCAATAAACAAATATGTTTACAAATTAGGTCAATGTAATAATAAAAATGTTACTGGCAGACGAATATTTGTTCTAGTCTGAAATGAGTCAAAATTTATACACAGTTATTTCATTAGCGACAAATATGATTTCATTTGAGAGGTCACAAATGACATGCGCAGAAAATACTTAAGCTTATTGGTGATGAATAATTTCACTATAAAACTTGGATATTGTATGGAAATAAATGCAATGATAATCATTCTATATAATTAAAATTCTAAAACTATACATGAATAAAAAAATAATTAAAAAAATTCAAATCATTAAACAAAATAAGAATATAATCTTATCATATTATTCGGAAATAATTTTTATATTTTTGAACTTGTTATAATATAAAATTCCTTAATTATTTTTTATCAAAATAAAAAAAATCACAAAGTCAATATTGTAAAGAAAAAATACGAAAATATATATTAAATTAGTAAATGTACATTAAATTGAATAGTGCAGTAATATTGTAGTTTCTATATCTTTAAAATGAGAAACAATCTCAAGATTATATTATATTAAATTCATCTTATACGAAATAGTTAAAATTAATAAATAACCAATGGTATTAGCACAAGATAAAATAGAATCAATAAATAATAATTGTACCATAGCTATAATAGATGATAGAACTTGCAAGCAAAGGAAGTTGCAATTATCATAATTCATAATTCTTGGAGTTTTTATTATTATTAGTATTATATATATACTAGCTTTTCAAAAAGAAAATAGAAAAAGTGATACCATATAAAAAAATAAATAAGTAAAATAGTTGGATAATTATTTAAATGATACATTTTGAATATCAGAATTATATAAATAATAGATTTTATGATACTATAGTCGGCATCTACGTCCATCTTAAAATATGAAATTTTTTTATTGGTTTGAACAATTACTTTATTCAATACAACCTAGGTACCTATCTATATTAAAATTATAAACAAATGCATCATCTAATTGCTAATGCAAGAATTGAAAAAACTGTAAACAGTTGTCATCCTTTAATAATTCTCATCTAAAAAGAATTGTTATTAAAATGTATCAAACTTATATTTTGTATTTTGTTAAAAATTCTGAATAAAAAAGAATACCTTTTTCGATTTTAAATCTATTTGATTTGAATTGATTAACTTGCATATATTATGCAATCCGATCTGTTTTATATCTTATACGCTCGCGCGCGCGCGCGTGTGAGTGTGTGCCTGCGCGTAATGAAAATTCATAATAGTTACTACACTATAGTTATTATATTACGATATGACATCTTATAACAATGAAATGTATTTCTTTGTAAAAATATTTTATTCTTCTATATACCAATACCTTTTATTCAATCTGTATATATAAAAATATTTTTTTTTTCTTTGGTATTCCATATCACATTGAAAAGTTGAAAATTTCAAAAATATAATGACAATCAATCAATAATCGACAAACACTATATAATAAAAATTTTATTTCTTTTTATAGAAATATTTACTTTATTATACTAGCAAATATATTAATTTATTTAACTTTTACAAAGTCCGTTTTTATTATATACCATATATTCGCGCTTTTAAATGAAATAAGTTATTTGTTATTCAATAGGATAACGTTCTAGCCAATCGGCTTAATATTCTATTGAATATGTAGTTCAAAATCTCACTGTTATTTAATACTAAGTATTGTATTCAAGTTTTTATTTTGTTTGATTTATTAGCAAACCTTAAACCGGTTTTGTAAACATTGTTTTTTAATTAAAATATTTTCAAGTACATGCATATCATCGATAAATAAGTTTAAATTATATTAATTGATAAAATTATTATTTAACTTTTCAATTATGTAAATATAAATTTGAATTATAATATAAATGTATATTTATAAATCAATCTTAATATTCAGAACTAAATTAAACATATATTTGTTCCAATTTTAACATATGAATACATGTAGCAAATCTGGATGAAATAAAAGATATAATGATTAATGCTTCAGATCCCTTGGTACGTAAATAAATTTAATCTGCATGTTAGAAATGGGTAATTAATTGTAAATCAAAAATAAAAATATTTAATTTTCTAATTATATCAAATGAATTAAACAAAAATATTTAAATTATAAAATAACCAATTTGTATTTGAAGAAATTATCCATCAAATTTTATTTTAAACCATAAATGATTACATCATACAAAATCTTATAAAAATATTTTTAAAATATACATATTAAAATCTAAAATATAACATATTAAAACAACAAAAATTATTTAAAGATAAATATCAAAATTTATATAAAAGAATCAGAAGAATAAAAAGAATATAGAATATTTAAATATTCATTATATGTATAATATAATTCATATCAAAATGTTGATATCTAACATAAATTGTATATATATGATGATATATATATATATATATAATGATACTTTGATTTCATAATATATTAAAATTGCTTTTTACTTTAGATGTAATAATATTTTAACGATTTTAAATAATTAAAAGATGAAATACTTGTAATTTAAATATTTAGTATAAATGCAAATCTTATTTACTTTATTTTTAATTTATTTTTTATATCGCTTTTAAATTATTAACAAAACAAGATAATATAAAACTTAAAAGTAAAATATCTTATAAATTTTTCATAAAATATCATTTTAGCAATAAAAAGATAAATATAATACTAAGTAATTTGTAGCCATAATCCATTCTTTTCTTTAAAATTCAATAATATATATTAAAAGAATTATTTTTTAAAATAGTTATATACATATGATAGTTTTAAAATTTAATTAATATGATTACAGGAATATATTCCAAATGGTCGTTTAACAATTTTAAAGCACCCAGAATTTGATACAACAGAAGCATATAAACATGCAGATATTTTTCAGTCTACAACTTCAAAAAAAGTATATAATACTGATATTGATTCCAAATCTTCTGTACGTATTTAAATAATTATTATGGATTATTATATGATTTGATTATAACTTTATTTGAAAAATATGAAAAGTTAATGAAAATAAAAAAAATGCTTATCATAATGAGTCATTAATTTATTCTTTAACAAATATATGTATATTTTCATTATTTCTTGCTGTATTTATTATCTATTTTAAAATTGAAAAATATTTAATTGTTAAATTCTACTTTATAATGCAATAAAATCTATTCTCTTACTAATTTTTATACTAATTTTCATATTTTTTAACCATAAATTGTACAGCTATAAACAATCTAATATTTTTATCAAGAAATTTATTTGAAAACACTAGTACAAAGAATACTAATATACACTATTAACAAATATTTTTAATTTGAATGTTTTCTCTGTATAATTTCTAATATCAATCAAAATATAATATTATTTCATTTACATTGCTTTCTGTATAATTAATATAATTACAATTATTATGGTATATTTCATTAATTGTAAACTGTTTCGAGTATTTCTTAATTTTAATCAGTTTTAAATCTTAACCATAATACCACTTATTAAGAATGATAGTTCATTTAATGTAAGTCATCTTAATGAGAAGAAAAAAAAAGATTAAAGATTGCAATTTTTGATCTCCGGTTTGCCTCTGTGAAAAACGTTCAGTAATAATTTGGTCATTATACTGTTTGCTCAACAGTACTTGGCCTACTGAAAAAAATCATTCAAATAATTTAGTAATACAGATGACAGTAAATATTAACCCAGTTGACTAAAATTGACACGATTTTATTAAAAACTTACTCAATTTCATTATATCTTATACTCATCTATGAAATTTTGATTACTAAAATATATGTATGTTAAAGAAAATTAATTTATTATTAAAATCAAATATGTATTATATCGTTTTAAGAAATAGTACAAAAGATATTTATATCTGCTCTCATTTTGTTGTTTAAACTTTTATTATAATTTCTTTTTTTTTTTTTTTTTTTTTTTTAAATTTTTTTTTAATTTTTTTTTTTTTTTTTTTTTTTTTTTGAGAAATTTATTTGAATTCTTTAATGGAGGCTATGTTTTACTTATTAGCAAAAAATGAATAGATATAAAAGAATAAGATAATTTATTAAGTGTACCACCAATAGGAAATTAATTTACAAGACCCTGAAATTCAATACAAAATTTGAAAATAAAAATACAGGGAAATGTAATACCATACAGATTTCAAGTCAATAACTATACATTGAAATAAATAAAGCCGATTTATAATAACAAAAATAATTATAAAATTTTTTTCGAAATTTCTTAGCATCCTACTCCTAAAATAACTTATTGACTTTCTCATGTCTCGCTCGCTATACGCCCTTAAAAAATAATGGTAACTCAAATTTGTCAAATTTCATATTACCGCATGCTAATATTACGCACAAAGTGGCGAATTTGTGGTTAGGTAATAATTATAACTGGCATCATAAAAGTAAAAATAAATATAAAATCCTGTATACAAACGTGTACAGTGTACAAGAATATTATAAAAGAGAGTTAATTATATTGAAAAAGAATAAATTTGTTCTATATTTCAAATATAAGTAAATTAAGTTAAAATTAAGAAAATAACTTACAGATGAATATTATAGTTTTCTAAAGAATTCGCTTTTTATTTATTCGAGAACACGTGTATAAGGAATAAAAAATTTAATTTCCAAAGTTCATACATTACTACATTACTTATTATACAGAGAATTTTTATTAAAATTTTTATGTTCAAAGTGATAATTTTGCACATTTTATGCATTAAAAGTTTATCAAATTGAAATTCATTATACAAATTTATAATGAGTATTGAAATAATAACAAAATATTTAAATATAATAAATTAAGTCTATGAGTAATATATTTTATATATTATTGTCTGGGATCAGACTAAAAACCTTCCTTTGATGATGGTTGGAGGTGCTGGCAAGTGGAAGGGGCAATGCAGTGTTTCTTGTATTTCCTTTATTAAATGTAATAATATAATAAATAGATAATGAGCATAAACTGTATGAATGATGGTGTGAGCGAATAATTTGGGGAAGTTTCTTCAATTGGTTTACGTGCTGAGGAGAGTGTGTATACTCTCCGTGATGTGAGGAGTGACTCCTTCCCTTCCGAGAAATGCCGCTGTAGTAGTATGCGTGAGAGCCACGGCTGTCGTACCGAAGTCGTCTAAGTGAGACTGGGTCGCTCCTGCTTTAGTGTTGGTGTGTAAGAGCTGCCGCTGTCGTACCGAAGCTTTCTAAAGGGGGACCGTTTTACTGCTATCTTAGTGTCGGTGTAATCAGTTAATGTGTGTAGCATGATTCGATAAAGTTCACTCTTGATTATGTTAGATTGCTTACGGGTTGAGTATTACGTACGTGTATAACTACAGTGAGTGATGACTGTAGCTTGGACACTGAATAGTGAGCTCATCGTGTTGATTGCGTAATCGTTATTACGTTAGAATGAAACAAGACTGGATTGTGAGCTCTTCGTGTTTACTGCGTTATTACGTTGTTACGTTAATCGTTATTACGCTAGAATGAGACTGCGATTCAGACAAAGACTCAGCGCTGCGCGGCAAGCGCAGCATGCGCGGCCCTTAAGTATTCTCGTGGTAGCTTAAGCGCCGGTAGAGATCCGGTGCCTGTTGCTATGGCGAAATTTGTCGTGACGTTAATAGGGCATAGCTTTGGAAGTATATTCAGGTTTTCGGCGTAGAAACATTTTTCGAGTTCGTTGGCTAGTGTTTATAAACAATTGTTCGCGCGCTCATAGATCTCCCACTTTTGTATTCCGCTTTCAACTGTTTCAATCCGTAATAATTATATAATTTTACACTGGTAGAGTAGTAATATAGATTAATAGAGTTTTAAGTTAAAAATTCGATTTATCGATAATTATAAGGAACAAAATTAATAACATATCTAGCATTTAATTATTATTCTAGATTATTATGGTAGTATCGGCAAAGTTTAAATATCTTATAATTTAAATTATAATGAAAGTAATAATACAGTATACGATTAAAAATCATTTTAATAATTTATTATATTATTATTATTATTAACACTATAAAATTTCTATTTCATTTTTCAGAAAGATTTTTGGATTCTTCGGGATAATGAAAATCATCAAGAAGAAGAATTATTTTGTTCTGGAAGACTTGCTATTTACACGAAAGGGAATCAAATTACAAACACTTTACAAACAGCTTATTGTTGTGAAACTGATATACTTCATGCTGTTTGGTGTAAATTTTACGTAAACGATAAAAATCAGATTTTGAGATCTAAACAGAACAATTTTAAAAAATCCAAAAAAGGAGTAGTTGATTGTATATGCTTATTTGATTCATATACTTTGAAAGTTTTTACTGAATTTGGAGAAAATTACATATCTAGCTTACAATTTAAGGTATCATGTATTAATACTACATTAAACTTATGTATACATATATTTATATTTATTGTCAAATGGAATTTTTTGTATATATTTTTGATCTATTAGAAGTTTATTATCATAATTTGAAGTGACAGTCCTGAAAAAAATTCAATTAACAAAAATCTGAATTTATCACTAATGATTCCGCATCCGTAGAGGGATATGTACAATGAAGTTATATCTTAGATATTACTTGTACTAATGCTAGAAAGTAATTTGAAAAAAATATACTAGACAGTAGAGTGTACATATCGTAGTTGCATGTATATTGAGAGAAAGAAAAGATACAAAGATTATATGCTAAGATACTAGGAAAAGCAAAGACTGAAGATATAAAAATCATATATGTTGTTATGTTAATCTCTACAGCGTTAGATGATTGCACGTGATTCCGTCTACTTACTTGTATCGATACTTCATTTTTAGAAAGTGTAGTGTTATTTTCGTTATTTAAATATATAACTGATACGTTGTAAATTTTTGTGGATGTTTGTAATGGTATTTAGTGAAGATGATAAATGGTACAGAGCCAAGTCTAATAGTTTGTAATCTTTTATGTGATATCTATTCGGATATTCATGACAAGTTTAAATAAGCCAATCTTCATTGAAACTATAAGTTCAATTTAGTAACCGTCTCTTAGAACATGTATTGTGCTAAAAATCTAATATAATTAGCCAGTCATATGGAATCGATAACGATGAAGTGTCACCATTGATTTTTGTCATGTCTTTTCGCGAAAGTTGAAATTTGTATTAGTATTTTATCTTTTATTATTAATAAGTTTTTCAACTGCAATTGTACTACTTGCTTTGTTGCTAAAAATATCTAGGCAAGTTTATCTTTACTAGTGTAGTATATTTTCGATGTAGTTAATCTCTTATAAAGACGGGAACCATGCATAATTAGTCTTGGTAGAGATTCATTGCATTTATTAGTTGCAAGTATGAAAATATTTAAGTTGAATTAAAAAAAAAAAAAAATTATATAATTAGAGGACGAAACGTATATTACCAGGATTCAAGATTGCTAATATTACACAAATAGACAATTGATTGAGAATGCTATCAGCTCTAGAGATTATTTGTAAAATTTCTTTGACACCAGTAAAAATACATGTTAATGCTGACTATTATACTTAATTGATTTGGCAAAGGTGGTAGATTATTGAAAACTTTGGACTAAAATTAATGTTTTACTATTGAGTTAATCGTATTTTCAACGTTTAGGTGTTCAACGGTTAAAATATTGATTCGTCAACATTTGAAAGATTTAAGAAATATAAAGCATACCCATATAAGCATCTATTAGTAAACCAAAATACAATTATTTCTTAAAGCTGTTTTCGAAAGTTTAATACTTTTCAACTAAGGTATTCTTTTTTTAATAATTGAATAATTTATTTCAGTCTAATCAAGTGTACAATTCGTGTGCGTTATAACCCTCTCTCAGTCTACTAACTGTTCTAATAAATTAACTCTCCCTTAAAGGTCATATTTCTTTATTTAAGTATGTAGAAGTTTATTTAAAGAGACTGTATGAGATCGATATGAAAACCTACTGTATTTAACCTTGATAGTTTGCTTTACGAGGATATTGAAGCATCTGTAAAAATAATTTTCTTCAAATTATAGTACATTTCTCTGTCAATAATTCGGTAACTCTTTTTGTTCATTAAATTATAAACTAAATTTAAGATCATTACTATAAGTAGTAGAATATACCATTCTACGTATAGAATCCTCATACCCGATGTAACTATACTTTCGTATACACTGAGAAGTGGAATACTGAAGTAGGATAATATTTAAAATAATATTTAATAAGTTCACAAAACTAAATATGTAAAAAAATTAATGTTTGTCTTTTTTAAAATAAAGGAAAGCGAATCAAAGCAAAGCTCTTATAAAATATTATAAAAAAATATTGTTCGAGAGTGAAACGAAAATCTCTAGAATTGTATTCATTAGGAAAATTTCAACGCCTATTATAAAAAGAATTATCGAACGGACATAAAAATCTGAAAAAGTCTCGCCAAGGTTGCTGAAGGCTCGAAAAGGTTAGTACATCTGGAACATACTCCTAAACAGCCACTTTATTGCCTTTCGTACTACAGACGTAGTAATTGTTTTGAATGCAATGAAGACCCTTGCGACTTACCATCAAAACCCGGCTAGCTTGTTTACTAGAGTATATTTTGAGGCTTAAATTATTTGAAAACAATTGAGTGAAAAACATTTCTTGTAATCCGGTGCAACCCGAAACTCGACACGTGCGACGGTCGGTAATCTGCGCCGCACGTGTGCCTTCAATGCCACCAGCAAGCATGCATTGTTGTCAAGTATGACAAATGTTGCTGCTTGCATAGGCCAAGCAAAGACTCTTGACCAAGAATCAACCCCCACCACGCTGAGGCCCGGAGAGGGGCATTTTTCCATAATATGCGTTGCCGCCAGAGATACTCCTTCGATATTCTCATTGTCTAAGCCTAATTTCTTCGAAAAGGGCCTGTACATTTATCATGCCGCCGAAAAGCGGCGCGCCCTGATTGAAAAACTAAGACCAGAAGCTCCTTGAGTGGAGACTCATGACAATAGGCCTCAAAAGTGGAGACGATACAGCTTAAGAGGCTGTTCGCGGTAAGAATTCGAACAAGCTGCTCGCGTAGGCAGCCAAGGGCTGCCCGTGTGGAAAAATCGATGAGCTGCCCGCAGGGAGATTTCGAGAAAACTGCTCGCGTGGACAACCAACGGCTGTCTAATAGGAAAAGTCAAGTAAAAGGGACTAGTCGCCTATAGAAGCCAAGTCTGAAGAGAACGCAACGCAGTAGTACGTATTAATAAATTAGAGACAAGTATATTGCGATGACCCACTGACCAGACCAAGAATACTGTAACCCTGTGAGTATAAGGATCATCCTGCACGCATTTGCCTTGCCGCGTGCCCTGGTGACCCACTCACCCCTGGATCAGGTCAAGACTACGATATCGCTGTTAATACACAAATCCACACTATCTACTCAATTATTGCCAGCCGGCGGCAAAACCGGCACAACACGACCATTAACATTATCTCACACTCTCTGACAAGGAGTGTGCAATAATTATTTATCTTTACAATCTGTCAATTCAACATCAATTAAGCGATCTCAAGAGCATCTTGTGTAGTGAAACATACAATATAAGAAGCCGTTCAAGAAATCGTATCTTCACATTAGACTTAACAAGATTCTACAACACCCATATGTCAATAGTGTATTAAATTGTATAATAAATCTATAATTAATCAACTCTCACGACTCTTGTACAAGCTCTTCCACCTATCTCCATCCTGGGCGTCTGCTAGGGCGGCGGCAAACTAAGCTATTGAAGCATTGGCAGTACGAGCCAAGAATTAAATCACTAAAATTCGAACAAATATAAACTATTTCTTACAATATATTTAAATCAACAGTTAATTATTGCTAAATATTTATAACTACTTCTTAAATATATAATATTATAATCTTAGGTTTCTGCAGTATGGCCAACTAAATATGGAATTTTAATAAGAAAATCTATTCCTTCAAATTTTACATACGGGTAATTATTTATGTTCATTGCATTTAATTTATTCAAACTAAGAATTCAAATTTACTTTTACAGAATAACGTCTCTTGAGAATACAAAAAGTATTTCTGAATCAGAAGAACAAAATTCTCCTATTCTATATTCATTAACACATCCTTTGGATGATATTAGTCCAGTACTTATTAAACATGGTAATATGGATTCATTATTCACTTAATAATATTTCAACTATATCGTATCTAATTATTGATCAATAAGTCTTCATATTGTCACTCTAATTATAATTCTTATATTGTTGTTGTTATTGGTATTGTTATTATTATTATAATTATTATTATTGGATACTTGCATAGCATTGAAATTATCTCCATAACATAAATCGATGCAATGTAACAATTTTATTAAAAGACGATGAATGTGTAATTTAAACAGTTTCATTCCATTTTTATATTATACAAAAATATGTTTCATACGTATTAAAATGATTAGATGCATTGTATAAATAACTCAATGAATAAATTTTAATTACTTTAAACTGATTAATACGCTTTATTGCAGGATCTGTATCATATTTTTGGGATACAAATCTTACCATACTTTTTACGACCAGTGAGCCATCGTTTGCTTTTATTTTTGATGCAAAATCAGGATTACATTCAATTTATAAAATAAGAAACGCTTCCAATGAGGAATGTCAATGTATAAATAATAGTGGAGATAATACTTCATTAATTTACAACTCTATATTCTCTTCATCCTTACACTTTGCTGGAAATAATGGATTAAGTATAAGAAGTAATAATAAGATCTGCATTAGTAATCTTGGTAAATTATTTTTAAAATTAATTTTATGCATTAAAAAAAGCTTTGATATTTTTTTCATTGAAATATAAAATTAAATATATAAATAGTTGATAGACGTAGTGCTAAAATTATAAATAATTATATTTTATAAATGTTACTTTTAATATTTACATTATGTATTATTTTATATTTACTATTTACATTATATACTATTTTAAATCTAATAAATTACATAATTATTCTTTAATTTATAATATATAAACGTATAATTTTTAAATATAAATAACACGATGGAGTATTAATTTCAGAATTTACTAAAAATCAGTGCAAGGGGAAAATGTTACTTAATCACTGAATAATTCAGACGCATATTGATTAAAATAAATAAAATTTAAGAAAAAGATTTTTGTTGATCTAAAAATAATTGTTGATTAAACTTCAATATATTGGTTTTATTACAATATTATTTATTTATAAAATATATAAATATGGTATAAATGAAAATAATTTTAATATAAAGCTTTCATAAAATTTGTATTTATAAAAAAATGCTTATGTAGTTGATATTTGAATCAAGTGATTATTTATTTAGAATATGGAAAAAATTTTAGATTTCCCTTGAATGTTTATATACTGTAGTGACAGAAAAGTCATTGCTTAACAACATTTGAATACTATTTAGAAAGATAAATATTTAATAATATATGACTCGTAATATTTCATTTAGATGTTTATTGATATTATCAGAGCTTTAGTCTAATTATTATTTATATAAAAGAATTTTGCTAGATAATCTTTATGAAATAAATTTCTGTTTGTAAATCTTTTATGTAATACTTTACATTGAAACAATACATGTAAATATTATTATATGGATATAACTGTTTGGAAATATTAAATCTTCATAACTATAATAATAATTTTGTTAGACAATTCAATTTTATAACCTCGAAAAAACTCAATCCAATCGAAATCAGTCCAAGGTCAAATGCAGATGATGAACTCAATAATAATAGTATTTAGATATTAGAAAAATTTTGTATTAAAAGAAAAAGCATGTGTTATAAATTTTAAAGGCGAGATGTAGTTTTCTAAAGTACATTATAAAATAATAACAAATATACGTGTTCAGAATGAAACTACCCAGCAATGACAAATTTATTGCTTTATTTAATATGATTCCATTACCTATATATTTAAAATAATGCGTAATATTTGAAGTATTCGCTATGAAAATTCTCGATTTATTTAAAGCCTTATACCGTATCCGCATAGCGACAAAGGAAGATTCTCTAATCTACTAAGCTTGCTTTCCGAAAATTTAACAGAATTTACTAGAATTACTAACTCTAAATATACGAAATCATATATAAAGAGCAACGAACGACTAAGTCAAAGTGAAATTAGTGCAAGTCATAACAGTTAAAATTCTACACGTCTGTCTATGGGAATCCGTGCAAGGTATACTTATTTATTTACATTATTTATTCTATATTCCTGGCTAGCTATCAGTGCGTCCTCCGCAACTTGATTATAGTCAGACCGCATTGAGACCGACGACGTAGACTGGCATCTCCAGCAATCTATTTGTATCATATATTATTATTATTGCGACTCAGCGTCGACAATAGCGGTCAGGCCTCTGCACCTTGATTCTTATCAGATCGCTGGAGAGGGCGCCGATAATGTTACAATATTCTCCACTATTACATTTCTTCAGATTCTCTCCCATGAGCTATCGCCGAATAATGCGACCATGGATTCGCAACTCTTGCGATTCCCTTTCATAAATATGAACTAGAATGCATGTCCAGTACTACCAACACAGTCCTTGCCTTGCACTCTCGGACGACGTTCTACATTTTATGGTTAACTGTTAAATCATGACGAGCTCAACAATTCTCATAACGATCGGTAACAATAACAACCTATGTAACGAAACCTTAAATAAAGGACACTAAAACCAATTGCGTATACACTGAATTAATGCATTAACCTCTCACTCATTCCTCCCAGCCCCCATCACCATTAAACCGACGGTACGCTCTAATCCAACCACCTTGGTCTTCCAAACAATACGAAATCTCGACGTTATTTAAAATGAAAATAATTGAGAGAAATTTAGATTTTTATTAAAATATTTATTAAATAATTAAGGTAATATTCAAATATTAAAAAATAAGTTTTTATAAAAGGAGGAAAGTTTTACTCGCAATATCAATATATCTATAAAATTATATTTTTATATCAAAATAAGATTTAATTGGTATAGCTTATTTTAAAATTGAATCAATTCTATTTAAAAAAATTAATGAAAAATCATAAATAATAAATATTAAAAGAAATTATGTTATAATTTGTAAAAACAAAAATATATTAAATTAATATATATGAATTATATTTTGTAGGTACCTCGAGTAGTCCTTTTCGTTCTAGAACTACTTCTTATACAACATCATGTTCTGCTAATATATCTTTGTCATCTCAACATCTGTCAAGGTCGCATAGTCCAATGGCTACAATATCTCGTTGCCAATCTCCAACAAATCCAATTATTACAACAATGAGTGGTACATCTTTAGGATATTATACCCATCATAATAGATCACATCATACTTTATTAGCATTATCACAAGGTCAATCAGATCGTAATACAGGCTTTTACAATAGACCCACAAATCAATTCCAAAACTATGCACTGAAAGGAGGAGTATTACCAGAATTATGTTTAGAACATGTTTGGACAGAGAGTGTTAATCTCAATAAGTAAGTACTCAATAAGTAATAAAATCTATTGTTTATTATAGTAACTGTACTTATTCTTCGAATATAATGTAATATACTATTAAAATAGATATGGATATCATTATTTATTTTAGGTAATGTAAATTTTGTATCATACAAATAATTATTTTATTTTAAGTTTCTCATTATTTTCAGAAAACAAACAGTTTCAATATATGTTCTTTGTTCTCTATATGATAATAGTGCTTTGTTACTTTGTAAACCATGTTAAATTTCTTGTTTTATTTTAGAGACAGTAATATGGGACAGGCATCGAGGGTATTCCTCACTGTAGATTTAGTTGGACAAACATACTTTTGCTATTTGGTTCAGAATCAGTGCCGTTTGTGTTTGATTAGATTAGAAAAATCGAATGACCCTGAAAGAATTATTCTAGGAATGTTGACCACGATAACAGCTAAGGATGCAATAAATTTACCGGTATGTGTTGGTATTTCAATTATATTTAGTGCATAATTTAGTTGCTTTTAATTATTAGTAATATAAAATCGCTCAAATATGAAACAAATTTGTTATATTTACACAGTTTTAAAAGTAACATTAACAAAATTAAATTCATGATTAAATGATAGATTAATAATAGTGATCTAAACTTTTTAAGTACTACTTTGAATATATTTGTTTTTATGTTTAGATAATCCATTGTTTCAATCTCTATTTTCTCTATGTATTAGTAATTACTTTGTGGAAAGTGAAATTACCTTTAGTGAACGTTTTAAGTTTTTAAATTGGTTATTTAACTGAATGAGTAAATTGAACAAAAAGCAAAGTAGTGATAATTATAAAATTTAAACTGATAAAATTAAATAAGGTGTTCCAAAAAAAACTTTTATATTTATCCTTGGACTATCTGCTGCTTCATATGAAAGTCTTAAAATATATGTTAATCTTAGAAAATAATTTATATATTTTTTTATTTAAATTTATTTTCAATCATATTATAAAAAATGAAAATAAATAATTCTTACTTTTTCTACATATTGTATTATTTCAAAGAATATACGCAATAGAATTTAATTTCTAGAGAGAAATAAGGAAAAGATAATCCGTTTCGAGATTTATTTGAAATTAGTACATATGAACTATTCAAGTGATACGATTAGATATATGGAAATTAATAAATTATAGTATAAATATACAATTGTCGGTTATTATAAATTTCTAAGAAGGATCACAAAAGATCTTTAATTAAACTGTATAAATAACGGATACGTAATAAGATATATATAATTTCTGTTATGATGATTATCCTTTTTCTCTCAACAACGAAATTAGATAACTGAAATAAAACAGGATAACCACTCCAATTCAACAATCTCAAACCATACATCAGAATAAACCCATAAACAATAAATAAGCTTTATTTTAATTACTATAATTACAATTATGAATTCTTAACAAAATACATTCGGTTCCTTGTTTATTTATCAATTTTATTGAGCTAATAAAACTATTTTTGGACCTTTTGAATATGAGAAATTCAAAGACTAACTACTGCAAAATTATGAAAATGTGCATTGAAAAAAAAATTTTTAAGCTTCAATTTATCTTTCCAAAAATTAAATCCTAAATAATCATGACGATAAATATAATTTAAAAAAATTAATTTAGGATATCAAGATATATGTCACTCAAAATGTTTATAATTACGATTGAAAAAACATTGAATTGTCACTTAAAAAATTTTCTACTAAAAATCCATAAAATAACATTCTATGAATAATATAAAATATAATTATCAGCAATTAATATCAGCATATTAATTTGTATTTTAATTTAATATTTGTAATAAAAATAAAATACGTAGCATGTTCTTCAATACATAATAATATAAAATAAGTGATGTTAACAACACCTGATTGTTTAGTCTCTAAAGAAAAATTTTGCTGATTCGATAGAATCATAAATTAATAACAGTTCAATATCGATTGTAATTTTAATTACTATGAAAGTAAATACATTAAAGCTTTAAATAATAAATATATGACTATATTATTTAACTGTATTAGCTGTTCCAGTATTAATTTGAAAATGTATAAGAGAATTATTCAGAATCCTTCATTATTTCGCAAACATAAGTTTCTTTGTCAATTTCATTCATATCCTCATTTTTTGTTTTTGTATGTATCGCACTTTAATAATGTAATAATTTTATGAAATCTCAATTTTTCGTAGTCTTCTTTTTATAATATACATTGGCATATGTTCCATTTAGAATAATTCTGTTGTATAAGTCGATAAGAGGAATTCATCAACTTATAAATTGAATAAAATAAAGTCGTAGAATATTAGTAGATAATCTGTCACCCTAATTATATTTATGTGGTAAACTAAATGAAGTTAAATTTTGATAACTACACAATGAATTTGAATTTTTTACTGTCGTTTGATAAAGTAAAGGTTTTCGAAGTGTAACATGCTACAAGTATTTTCAATATTTTACAAGTAAAATATAATAAGATATTGAGAAAATATTAGTTAAATGGAAAATATTCTATAAATTGTATATAAAAACTTCTAATTGTCTTTTATTATAAATTCTATTACCATATATTTGAAATGGAATTTTTTTTTATAAAAAGATATTTTTAGTAAATTATCTGCTGCACTACAATGTTCGTTAGTACAGTATTAGTATGTTGTGCCCGCATCTATTTGTGTTTGTGTGAATTTTACTGAATACTCATAAAACAGCTAGCTCAATCTGACTATAAAAATGTTTAAATCAAATAGATATTAGAATTGAGACAACTAAAAAAATGAATATGACCAAGAAAAGTAATTTATACTGCTTTAGAGAAACAAATTGATTTATCTAAATTAAAATATATCTTATGTAATTTACGATAATCAAGCAGTTCTTGAAGCCGCCACGTACTACTTAGAAATACATAAAAATTATTAAAAAGAATACTTATTCTTATAGTTATTTAACAAGATCATATGATATTTCACCTTTTTTTTTTTTTTATCTCGTTTTATTTTTGTGACTAACTTTCGATTTTGCCTGTTTGTTAAACTTCAGTTATTATCTCGCATTAATTTTTTCTTATTACACATAGTAGTTACTAAATTGAAGATCGTATTGATAATTGATATTAATTCCGTGCTCTATATTATTAAACATTAAAGTCCACATTTATTGAATATTTCAGAAGTTGAATATGATTGTAATTATGGAATTGAATGGGACCATGAGCATGTATTCCGGCACATCTTTTGTTGGAAAACTACACGTTCCTAGTATTATTCCTAATGTTGTTGGGAATAGTTACGTGCTCTCGCATTTTTATACTCGAGAACTATTATCACCTTATCCAAGAAGAAGTTCACTAATTTCACCAAGTAGATCATCAACACCGCATGTACAATTTGATGAAGGAGTACACCTATTAAGTCCTGTCACTGGTAGTAATTTAAATATAGTTGATAATTCATTGATTGAAAATAGCCCAATATACATAAAAAGTGCAGTTTCAAATAATTTGATTTTAGAATATGGAGATAATAGTTTTTTTAAAATTACTCTACCTACACATAAAGCATCACCTCTTGGTATGTATAGAAAATATAATAATACACATAATAGTAATTATTTAATAATACAAGAGAAAAATAAAAATATAACTTTTAGATAAATAATTTTATTATATAAAATTCATGATTAAATAGAATTTATTTGTAATTGATAAAATTATAACCTGTGTATCAGTTATGTATAGTATGGAGGTGGTACAAAATCTTATAATTTTAGAATTACATGCCCTAACATTGTAAAAACATTGTATATCGGTTAGTGACAAATGGTTAGAACATATTGAATAAATATTCATAACTATATTAATGAAAATATAAGCAATGTAAGTATCAGTAAAATAAAGAAAAGTAAATCCTAATATTTTGTCGTTCTACACAAAATTCAACAGCTCATGATAATATAAAGCAAAACTTTGGAACATGGAAATGAAGAAAGGAAGAGTCTTATATTTAAACGATTGCTTTTTTTAGGATGCATATTGTTCGGGATTGAAGCAATTTCGAAGACTGTCGACTGTCGATATCGCAGGTCTTTCTAGCTCTCAGGTTTCTGTAAAAACTTTAGAGGAACATTTTCGTGTACTTGTTATATTTTGGCTTCAAATGGCCTATAATGTTATGGTCTTCGAGCAGGA